TTGTCGCAGGAAAAATTGTGATAGGTGGAGTTCAGCTGGTGTTCGCAATATTTTAGCCAAATTTTTGTGCGAACAGGAATGGTGCTTCATGTGAAAAATTTGATTCACGAATCATAGGAAACTGCGGGAAAATTGCTACAATTGACAGAGAAAATTTCAGGTTTATTTGAATTTATTTGTGGTGTGCTTTGTTTTAATACAAGACAGGAAAAGTTCACTGCATAATTAATTTCAAGCGGCAATGTCTAGTGCAAAATTCAAGATAATGAAGTTTGATAAAACAAGAAACTTCGGATTGTGGCAAACAAGAGCGAAATATTTGTTGGCACAACAATGAATTTTGAAGGCATTGTGAGCTATGAAACTTGATGTTAATATTTATAAACTATTGGGGAGTACAGTTGTAGGTGGAGTTCACTCTGTCGGATTATATGATGGAAATGCAAAAGGAAAGTTGACCAAGTCAGGTATTTTCAACAAGTTCTTGCATTACTTGAACTTATTGAATGTTTGCATTTGCTAGTTGGCATGGTTGTCCAACTCACTTCGGTGTAAGAAACTCCATGATGTATTTCTTCTAAGGGGCTGAATATTTGCAAGGTAGAGATTTTCTCCTAAGGGGCTGGATATTCGCCAAGGTGGAAAATTGTTAGGTATGGCTCATATACCAGGAAATTTGGAGTATCTTGAAAAGAAGATGTGTGTCTCTTGGAATGAAAATGAGTGTCTATTATGAGTGCCTCTTAGTGTGAAGAGGGGTGTCTCTTGGATTAGTGGGTTGGGGGGGAGTGTTTGTAAATTTATCTGTGGATTTTTTTTTATAAATAGATGTGTAACCCTATTGGTATGTAACTCCTCTGAAATATTGAATTTGAGACTCTGCTCTCCGCTCTACTCCCGAGGATGTAGGCATCTTTGCAGAACCACGTAAATCTGTGTGTTCTGCTGTGTTGTTTTTTGGTGTGAATTTTGTCATTCTATTTTTCGCTTCGTCGTCGATCTTTCTATTTACTTCCTGCACCGCCAAAATTTTTCTTTCCTACCCTAGAACCTCGCTCTGATACCAATTCTTCTTGCCCAATTCTTCCAAGAAGCCCTGTATCTATATCATCTCATTTGCAGCCTCTGACACTGCTATATACTCAGCTTCTGTAGGAGACAATGAAACTGTCTTCTACACATATTAGAGCCCCATTATACTACAGTGCCATCATAGGCAGCACCATTCTGATGGTTGTAAGCTTCACCACAGGAGAGAAAATCTTGGAATAATCAATATCTTGTTTCTGCTGAAAACCCTTTACAACAGAGACGGCAGTGGCAAAGGCCGACGAGAAGAGACCCCGAGCAAAGAAGTCACTGAAGAGGGAGGAATTCGTTGTTCGGCTGAGGCAGCCTTCAGGAAAGTCCGACGTTGATAATAAAGATTCATTTTATTTCCACTTATTGAAGCGGGTGTAGGGATTCTGAGTTCCAGGAGACTATCCAAAATGTTGGAATCAAGGGAGTCAAACTTTAGAGAAGAGGTCCCCGAACCAACCGCTCACAAAAAAGGGGGTGTACGTCTCTCTTATATCGACCAATGGGAGAGGGTTGTCGTGCAGTGCGTCTCCCCTGCAAGCCATTCCATCTTTGAAGACGATAAAGGCTCAAAGGCCAAACTCCGGGGAAGGATCGATCGACAAAGGCTCGCATATGAGGAATCAACGCCACTCCACCACCATCTCAAGGTAAAAGCTTGTCCTCATAGTGGATTTCCTAAATGGTTGGCGAAAGTAATGTTTTCGGGAACTTCGGTGGAAGACATTTGATGGTGGACACCCATAGAGATTTGTTCAACGGTCAGGGACCTCGCTAGCTACCTGTCGGAAGTGATGTGTTTGACGGTCTGAACTCAGTCCTAGCGGGCTTAAATTACACAGACCTATGCAAGACCTCTGATCGGTATAATGCCCTGGCCCTTTTTTTCTCTCACTATCAGGTGAAAGCCATGATCCATGAGGAGAAGAAGAGGAAGGCTGACAACAAGATGATGGCAGGGGTGTCGGAAGGAAAGAGAAAGGCCAATTTCGAGCTAGTACATCTACAAAAAAAAAAAAGAAAAAAAAAAAAAATTCAAAAGATTCAACCCAAGCATGGAAGGCAAGAGTTAATGAATACGAGTAGACCATTGCCTCCCTGTCTGTTAAAAATAATGATTTGGAGGAGAGAATATCCGGGATGATCTTGAGGGAAGAGCTTGTGGTAACATTTTAGGAGCAAATCCAAGTTGGTCTAGTCACCGCCGCCGAGCGCTTCATGAAGGATATCTTGGTTGATCCCAAGTGCGTTAACATGGATCAATTTGCATCCCTCTTCATTGATTCTGGCAATGAAGATGATGAGGTGGATACACCTGGGAAAGATGAAGCTGGTGGTAGTGGTAGTGGCAGACCCGTAGCCACTAAGGTCTTTGCATGTCTTATGTTTAATATTTTTACTTTTGATTTTTGAAGAATATTGGCACCGCCCGACCATGCTAGGCGGACGAGCACTCATGTAATCAGAAACACACACACACACACACACACACACACACAACTACTCTTGTGTCTTATTCTTCTTCATCTTATTTATTCCTTTTGAATTCATGGGTTATGCTTCTTTTGTCGAAGAATCTTATATGTGAATGGATGATTTGGGTTGGCTGTGAACTTAGCTCCGTGGCCGGTTTCACTCTCGCCCGGATAGTTTTATTGTTCGGTTGTGGTTTGCATTAGGCTAGGTCGAGCTATCTTGGTGCCACAACTGATTGCCTTCAAGTTGTGAATAAGTTTGATCAATTTTGGCTTGATGGCATGTCTATCTTCAATTTGTGCTTAGTTGGGTGATCTTAGTGCCACAGTTAGTAGTCTTCAATTTTTGGGCGAGGCCGTGCAATTTTGGCCTCATGGCCTATCGGCCTTTGATTTTTGCTAATTCGGCGATCTTGGTGCCTTGATTGACAGTCTTCAACTTATGGTTAAGGTCGAGTTATCATGGTGATACAGCCTACAGGTCTTCGATTTTTGTTTAGTTAGGGCGATCTTAGTGCCACAGCTGGCAGTCTTCAACTTGAGGGTGAGATTGGGCGATCTTGGCACTGTGGCCTACCAGTCTTTAATTTTTGCTCAGTCAGGGGATCTTAGCATTACAGCCTGTTGATCTTCAATTTTTGCTTAGTCAAACGATCTTGGCTCTACGTTTTGCAGTCTTTAACTTATGGATGAGGTTGGGTGATCTTGGCGTTGCGGCCTGCCCGTCTTCAATTTTAACTTAACCGAACGATATTGGCACCAAAACTGGAAATCTCCAACTTATGGGCGAGGATAGGCGATCTTGGCTCTGCAGCCCATCGTTCTTCTTTCTCTCGGGCTCTTGGTGGATGTGTTGTTGTTCCTCTAGCTTTTTGCAGTTCCCCGAGCACTTTTCTGACCTGAAAGTTTTGGCTCTTTGGTTAGTGAGGAGTTCATTAATTTTATACGTATTTTTGGCAGAATATTGGAGAAAATCTCAAATTGCAAAACAAAGTGATGAAATATTTCTCATTCAAGATTGCTTGTATAGAATGCATAATGAAATTTATGGAAAACATTTCTTGAGATCGTCTATGATCCAAGTCCGAGGGACCTCATTCCTTGCATGGGTCTTTAGCTTGTATCGTCTAAGTCCTGCATGGCGATCGATGATGTAGAGTCTGCTCCACATTTGATATAGCTTTCCTACTGCCTGCCCTCATCTTGTCGGATCAATCTTCTTTAGCACCAGGTCTCAGGTCTCCGAGAGAGAGAACTTTTTCTAGGATGTGTCGGTTGTGATAGCGAGAGGCTCTCCTCTGATCTCTTCATGTTGCAGGGTTGATTGTGCTAAGGCCTCTTCTATAAGGTCTAGCGCAAGCATCGTTCCCTTATTATTCGATTCCAACCATTCCAGAAGATTTTCTTTGTTGAACGCCATATCCACGAGGACTTTTTAGCTATTATGTTTGAGTTGTACTGACAGTTTAGCCTGCATTTCATGCAAGAGCATAAATGGAATTTGAATGGTTTTGGTTGACAGGGTTTTACGACCGTCTTATAAAATGGACGAGAGGGCCTCCCCTAGTTGCCTTTTCCACCACCTACCTTTTTTCTCAACATGTTGAGGGTGATTTTATTAGATGCATCGACCTAGCCATTGGTTCGTGATGATTACACGAGGCAAACTTGAAATTTATTCCTTGGTCTTGGCAAAAATTTTGAACCTTCTTGTCCATGAACTATCCCGTTAACCGTGATGATTATCTAAACCATAACGACAGATCAAGTCGATCCAAATAAAGTTATAGATGACATCCAAGTGATCCAGGAGAGCACTTTGCCCTCAATCCACTTTAAAAATAAAAGGTAATCCATTTTCTTGATCTTATGATAATTATTCTTTAAGTGTTGCCTAAGGCACTCAACTTTGTAGATACATTGTCTTAAAAATAATAATCAATCATGCAATAGAATTCTTGTGATAATTATATGAACCTATGATCAAACTATATTACATAGTTAATGGTAATAAATTGATAGATTAGTATAAATTTTAAAGCAAAAAAAATGGATGGCCAAGATGCTGCTTGGTTAAATCTCAAAGCATGTAGCCATACCATGTCAAGACATGTTCTTTATTCAGTTTACATTTCCTATCAAATCCCTTCCCTTTAACTTTTGAATTCCAACCCTTAGAATTCAATAATGTAATTACCTTATTAGGACACCCATAGTAATTCAATAACAACTCTTATTCACATTGAGCACTGGCAAAAGTACCATATTAATCCCTTCTAATTTAAATTGCCATTGCATGCAAATGCCTTATTGGTATTCAAATGAAAATGCATGATACACGGCCTATTAAGGATGAGTCTTGTATTTGGCCCGCGTTCCGCATTGTAAAAAATAACTGCATTTTCAGATAAGTTGTCAAACGCAGTTTCCAAATGGTAAGTCGGTGTTTTCAAAACGCTGCCGCAGCGGATAAACTACCACAAAAGAAACCTAAGTCTCCTTTCCATTGTCTTGATATAATATTTCTGTTTGAATCCAAGAGACGTATAATTTTATGGGCCACTAAATTATTACAAACAAATAAAAAAAGGAACATAAAGAATACAAAACTCCCATACATGAATGAAAATGGACTAGCAAAATTGTTCTAGTGATAAAACCACATGACTAGAAAGCCTGCTGTTCGCATGAAAACTCAATCTGGAAGATCTCTGCTTCATGTCAAAAAACAAGAGAATTTACATAAACAGCACCCAATTCTTATTCATTTACGTATCTTACACCAAAATTTTCATTTTTACAAACACAGCACTCAATCTATACTATTCAACAGTGTGGATCAGTAAAATCCACATTTTCCTGCATAAGTAAATTGCTGTGTTTGTAAAAATCAAAGTTTTGGTGTGAGATAGGTACATGCAAAAGAATTGGGTGAAGATATCTTCCGTCTAAGCAATCTGTAGCTCTCGACTGAAATTTCAGGCTGATTACATGAAGTAATTAATGGAAACGTGTATTTCAGAGCTGATTGGCAAATTTGCTTCGAATCTTCCTTTCATGATTCTGGAAACTATATTATGGATAAGAAAATTGCTAATTCTGCAAAAAACCCAACAAAATTTCCCAGCTTCCTTTTGGTTTAATGACTATCTTTATATTATAAATTGAATCAAAGTACCTGTATGTGAGGAAAAACCACAGAATTTGAATTTTGTGGGAAGAGATTCAAAATCAAGCTTTGCAAACTTTGAACAAAGCGTTGCTGTTTAGGGACAGCTGCACAAGATGATTCCTGGAAAAGAAACAAAGCTGTTAGCTTTTGTGCAAATTGACAAAGTGAAAATCCAACACAATTTACAATGCAAGCAGATTGCATGACATGCTCTTTCATAGATGTTAAATGCAAATTGATGTGTTGACTCTCGGTCCTCGAAAAGAAAAAAGAAGCCTGAAAAGCACTGCAGAAGTAAGTAGAATGGTAAACGTATCATAAACCCATAGAGGTGCATTAAATTGTACCTGCTGATCTGCCCAATTGAGGGAACTCATTCCAAAAGAAATGAATATTAACATTAAGGAAATTATAACTTCCTATTAAGTTTACTTTTTTTAATAAAAACTTAGGATTTATAAGTTTAAACGAGCATCCTTATGGCGTTTGGACAACCAAAATATGTCTTCCTTGATTTTTCTTAAATCAAAGCATATATGCCTGGGCATATGACAATTGAAGCATCAGTCAACCATAATAATAATTAACATAAAAATTTCAACAAAATTAACGAAATGGCAACCAAGCGCCAAGCCCAACGAGTTTGCACCTGAATGCAGTCCCAAACTCTAGTGACCACTCGCACTCGAATCACTGGATCACAAGTGCTAATGTGAGCTTGCACTGATCAATACCAGCACTTCGCAAAATGACCCCCTCCAAAAACAAGCTATTGCCGACACCAACTATAGTTGAGAGCCAAGAAGAAATAGCTGGACCTAAATCAGGCCATTTTAAGTTACAATTCATTGAATCATTGATTACATAGATTTAGTGTCTATGATTACAGGATATAAAAGCCTTGAAATGTACTTGCAAAGAACAAAACGCCTCATCCTTATCGTACTATGCTCAAATATCCCATCAACAGTCAGGCTGTCAAAAAAGCTCGTTGTTCGCGAACAGTTCGTGTTCGGTTCGCGATGGAGTTTGTGTTCGATTCGTTCAATAAGTAAACGAGACAAACACGAACAATTTTTTTCGTTCGGTTTGTTAAATGAACTAAGCACGAATAGTTTATATATAAAAAATTTAGGATATTTTAAAAAAAATTATTTGTTATAAAACTTTATCATATTTTAAATAATTAAATCCTATAAATTATAGTATATAATAAATTATTAATAACAATAATAATATATTAGTATTAGTTATATTAATATAAATATTATAATATTTTAGCAATTCAAATATGCAAATAAAAAAATTATGATATTTTAAAAATAATTATATATTCTAAAAATTTATCATGTTTTAAATAATGCAAATTAATCTTAATATTTTTTAACAATTTTTACAATTCGAACAAATCAAACAATTCAAATAATTCGAACAATTCGAATGATTTAGATAATTCGAACAATTCGAACTTGTTTCGAACAAATCGAACCGAACACGAACAACACCTTTAACGAACAATTTTGAATACGAGCCTATTTCAAACAGAATTAATCTCAAACGAACCAAACACGAACACGAGCTATGTTCATTCGTGTTCGGTTTGTTTACACCCCTAATCAGCAGTTTTAGTATTATTTGATACTCGTGTTGTAGGGCAAAAAAGAAACCGCCAATGGGCTGCTTGGACGTGTCAAGAGCAGAAGTTTTTTAGTGCATTACGGCAAGTTGGCAAGGTTATGGCTTATTCCTCTTAGGAATTACATGAGTTACCATGTTTAATATATGCTAACAGCTAGTTTATGTTGGCAGAATTTTGAGAAGATTACCTGTCCTGTGCAGAGCAAGAATAAAAACCAGGTATACTTATTTTAGTAATTGGCTTTTACTGAATAAGAGGGATTGGCTCGTCTTTAAAGAAGCATGAGCAGGATATGTCATGGCAGAACTGAAGTACTGAACTAAATAAGTGTCGTTTAATAGCAATTCACTTTTTACATATCTAACAGAAAAATAGAGCCATTTACATACATACCACACAATTCTTGTGTATTTACTAGGGGTGTAAATGAGCCGAACACGAGCGAGCCCAGGCTCTGCTCTTGTTCGGTTCGTTTATATTTCGAGCTCAAAAATTGTTTCGCTCGTTTGCTTAGCGAGCCGAATACGAGCCGTTCCCGTCGAAAAAGACAATTTTTTAACCCTCATCTCTAGATCACGCAGCCATAAGATGTTAGGAATTGAAGCAAGAATTAAAACATCATTGGAATCTAATTTAATAATTTTTATTTTATTTTCTTAATTAATACTTTTAATTGAT